TCTTGAGTATTTTCATTTGAAATATGCCTAGAATCTCATTTGAGGATGAATGTTCCCAAGGGGGAGATAATGTAAACCTCGGATTCAGAGAAGGGAAAAATATTCCTTTCATTAGCCGACTTGGCGAAGTAGGGGGTGAACACTGAGTGACTTGGCGATCCACCAAGTGGAACCCCCTCACCTTTTGGCCTGATCTCAGCGTCCACTATTCTGGAATATTAGGCGAGCTAAGTCGAGCTCGCCGCTCCATTCGGCGTGTCTCCATAGTGCTCTCCCTATCGCCTTATTGACTTCATCCAAGAGTCGACTTACTATAATTTTGGGCGAGCTAAAGGCTCACTTTAGGAGTCGCCGAGTGGCCTTTGGCGAGCTCCAGCGATTGTTGTTTTCAATTTTATGTTGTGTTCTTAAAAGTCTTTTCAAATTATTTAATTCTATACTATGTCAATTTTCCCTTCATCTAGAGATCTATTTTATCATTTTTTCCCCAAATTTCCCCAATTTAAGAACCAGTCTCTCAAGAATCTGAAAGAAGATCAAATCTCCTCTCTAAAATATTTCTCTCTCTAGAACTTGAAGAAAAAAAAGAGGAAGAAAGAGTTGAGCTAGGATCAAGGTCAAGTCTCCATTCCTCAAGAAATTGTGGGCTTTGATAGTAAGGTATGATGTCTTTTCATCCATGGAATTCTTGCATCCATGGAACCCCTAAGATTTCCCAATTGAAAAGTAGAAATTCCACAATTTGAGTTAGTGTTTTCTTCTAATGTTGTGGGTCTTGATGAATGTTGATCCAATTGATTGGGTTATGATTGTTTGTGCATGAATTGTTAAGAATACATATTTTTAGGATGAATTTACATGTACCCATGCTTATCCCATGTTTCTAAGGTTAAATTGATATAAATGTGTTTGGATCCATGAAAGGGGAAATTATGGATGTAGGTGTATTCTTATAGGATAAATAAGGTAGATTAAGAATTTCTTTGACAGTGAAGCATATATGATGATTATGAGATGTATTAATTTGAGAGTGAAGCATATATGATGATTATGATAGGTATTGCTTTGAGACTGAAGCATATGTTATGAATTGTTGATTATTGATGTAATTGTTGTGGAAGGGATAGTTCGCCACTTGAACTACGTAAGTATGAATGTGAAAGGCTTTCTCACATTGAATGATTCTAGGTTGAAAGAATTTCTCACCTAAAATGAATCTAAGCTAGAAGACTAAGAAATTGATGAGGCTAGGGGCGATTACCCATGACCTCTAAATGAAAAGGATATGAGGTGATTCCTAATATTCCTTTGAATAGAATAAGAGGAAACTACCTTTATTCCTTCATGTTGAACAAGAGGCGACTCCCCACATTCCTATCATGATGTTTGGCATGGCGGCGAGTACCCATGATCCCTTACTGAAAGATATGTAGGCGAGTACCCATGTCTAATGATGAAGGATATGGAGATGAGTACCCTTGATTCCTTATAGAATGACATGGAGGCGAATACCTGTGTTATATGATGATGGACATGGAAGTGAGTACCCATGATCCTATATGTAAGGCAAGATGCGACTACCCATGAGCCTTTATGGGAAGGCAAGAGGTGATTCTTCATGTCTATGAAAGATAAGCTAAATATGTGATGATAGGTGATGAGCTTGGATGATGGCTTGAGTTTGCCTTCTATGATGAGTAAGACTACTGGAGTATTACCCGTGTCTTGTTTAAGTATGCTTTGAGGTTACTTCAAGAAGTATTCCTTATATGTTGATATGATCTATTATGTGCATTGATTATGCTTATGACTTATGTTGTCTAACTCTTATGTTTATGTTGATGTTTATGCAAGCTATCTTATTTAGTGCCTTCTTGTACTAACACATACTCTTTCCTACATTTCTTATCCAAATGTAGGGTCCGGCGTTCCCGACTCTCATCCTCGTGGCTACGATCTATAGTAAAGGCAAGGCTGAAGATTAGTGAGTCCTCATAGAATTCAAGGAGTTGGCCGCCATTTGTCTTATGTTTCTTTTCATTTTAAGTATTGAACATTGTTGTATGGGCTGTGTCCCAAGATTCTATTGTATTAGATAGTTTTTGAGACGAAAGTATTAGACTTCCGCTTTGCAATTAAAGACTTTGATGTTGTTGAAATGGTTTTAAATTTTCCCGATTTTCTATTATTTTGACTATAAGTGCTAAGTATGATCAACTTCCCCAACTTAAGGATTTTTTTCACCCTGGAATCATGTCAAAACCCTCAATAACCTAGATTATAAGGCTTAATAATCAATGTAAAAGGATGGGGAGTAATAATTTTTCCTCTACCGGTGATTTCCATGGAAAATTAAGCGAAAACAACCAAAAATTGCCCCTCCCAAGTCTAAGAACACAAAGCACAAAAAATAGGGTTTTAGGGTCTACTTCAGCACTCAAACACATTTTCCCCGCTATAGAAGTCTAAGCATTTCAATAGCGGGATGCCTCCTGCTTTAGTGATCTCGACGAAACATTAGAGTCCCAAAAGTCTGAAAAAATAATTTTTTTTACAACACAACCACATTCCTTGACGTCCCAACACATACCTTTCACACAAATATCAATTATGGGAGTTCTACCTATCAATTATGGGACTCCTTAATGTCTTGGATACAAGTATATCTCAACAAAACATCAACATTACACTGCAACCATTGTTGGATGGCCCTAGACCTCATCAATCCCAAATTCCATCTAAGGCAAACCTAGCCAAAACAAATTTAAGAGACTACCCGAAATGTTTTATGGCCCAAACTCTTCACTATTGGCCTACTCACGATCGGGTCAGGTCATTACACTACGATCCATAGATTAATCTACGAGCCATAAAATGTATCTTATGAATCAGGCTAGCTTCTGAGTTTCAGAACTTTTATCAGCAAACCAAACAACTATCTATAAATATTCTATGACCCATATACCATGCCCTTAAAACTCAGGGAAGATTTCATATTTCTGAACTTTGATCTACGAACTTCGTCTATGATCTATTAAAGCTTTTAAGACCTACAAACAATAGTCATAATTCTCATACCAAATTCTTAAATTCTTTGAAATTGGTCTATGGATCTCATATACAATCTGTGGTTCCTTTTATGTCCCCTAGATGGTGTCCCTAAAACGTAGAAAATTTTGTACTTTTCTAGGTCTGATATGGACTTTTTTGGAAACTTTTCAAGGTCTAATATGGACTTCGAACATTTTGGGGCTTTACTGTGCTTGAATATCCAAATTCATTTAGTACATGATTAGTAATTTGAGATGTATTTTTTAATCTAGCACTAAACACGTGTTTATTAATAGTTGTTGATCACATGTGTTGAATATTATAAAAAGTATTCAACCAACTGTGTTCTTCAATATTGTATATTGTAAGCATCATATTTCATGTTTCTTCTTAAAAAATTACATTCAGAAATGCATTTGTTAAAAAAAATAAAGAAACTTTGTCATTTTCGAGTGAATTTAAATGAGATGGGGCATTGCGAGGTATGTGCCACTGACACAATTTATGTTTAATACTCGACATCATTTCCCTAATGGAAATTACCATTGCTCAAGCTTCGTTAGTTATAATATGTGGGGTAATACTTTACTTTTCATTGACTTTTAAAATGTCAAGAATAACCGTACGACCCTTCAAATAAAAAGCACAATAAAAATTATAGTTTATCCATGATTATTTATTCAAATAAATGATGCATAAATCATATTATACATATATGTTTGATATATGGTGTCAAAATACATGACATCACCAAAAAAAGTGTAGTTAATTATGGATCGACCATCTCTCCATAAAAAATAGTTATACGCCCTTCAGAATCAAGTTAAACATCCTAGTAAAATAAGTCTCACTCATTAACAACACTTTGAGAATGATCTCCTTGCACCTTGGAGTTCATCAAATGATCTATAAATTAGATAGAACTTGAGAATTAAGTAGTATGCAAGAAGAAGAACTAATAGTTATAGTCTTTTTAACTATTTATTAAAATAACTCTTTTTTACCGTTAGTTTATGTTAGCTACTAACTTAACTTCCTTTTAGGTTATAATTAATATGTATTGTATTTTTAATTATGTATTAAAATAAGTCAACAAATATATTTGTATTTGTGTTATATAGTTAATTAAACTTAATTAGGTATTAACAGTAGTGTGTGACTGTAGATCATTTTAATGGTGTAATAAAGATAAAAAGTTTAAATTTAAATTATTTCAAAATTTAAAAAGAAAACATCATCAATTTTAATATGGTTATCACTGGAGAAAACAAAAAAACAAACCACATATTAATTTTCTTTTGATACCACCTCAAATAACAATTAGTTCATCAAAAATTTAAAATTATGATTTTGATGGTTAAATTTAAATATAAAAAGGATCAAAGGAAACACTATATTAATAACAAAACCTCCAATATTAAAATGATCAATTTCATAAAAATAATAATTAAAATTTCATTTTCAATTCTATTTTGTTTCTACTTTTTTGGGACTAGAGATATGGGTGGGGTGAGGGTGAGGGTGATTGGGGCTTCCATACACTTTAATAAATATAGATATTTTTTCTTTATTTTGATCTACATTCCTAAAAAATTCTAATGAGATACTATAAAAACATCAACTAAGGATTAAAGAAAATAATAATTGTGATATCTTGATTTTTTTCCTTTCCTTATTCAACATTTACTTAATCTTTTCTAACGCCAATGTTGTTAACAATAACATCCTTTATTTCTTCTGTGTTCATTGAAACCCTTTCATTATCCAGCTCTTACATATAACTTTTAACTTCTTTTCGTATAATGTCTTGCAAATCTATCAAAAAAATTGGGCTCAACAACTGTTTCTCCATACTTGCGACCAACATTTCCACTCTGAGATATTGAAATTTGGGGCATAAAATTTGATGAAGTTATCTTAGATGCCTATATAGGTGTTGGTTGACCTATTTACTCGATTCGATTCTCTGGATTCAAATACTTGGTAGATCTAACTCCAGGTAAAGAGAGACTCAGATCTGTTGATGGATCGGGGATTACTGGTGCAGATGATGAAAGAGTCAAAATTTCACCTAGTGGGGCACTGGGCGGATAAAGAATCAATTGAGGTAACCTAGATAAACCCAAATTGTTCATATTAGATACACATAGACTCAGAGATGTTGATGGTTCAGGCATTACTGGTGAAACTGATAAAAGAGGCAAAATTTCACCTAGTGGAGCAGGCGGATAAAGACTCAACTGAGGGCACCTAGATAAACCCAAATTTCCTAAATCAGATCTGGGTGTATTCAGAAATACTAATGGATCGGGTATTACAGGTGAAAATGTTGAAAGAGGTGAAATTTGACCCATAGCGGCAATGTGCGGATACACACACAACTGAGGGAACCTATGAAAACCTAAATTGCTCTGAGCAGATCTATATGGAATACCTGAATTTTTACCCTCCCTGATACTCAATGATTTCTTCAACAGAGGTTGAGGATTTTCCAATATCAAATCTTCTGACGTCGAAGCGCGCTTCCGTTTAAGGGTGGAATTCCAATGATTTTTTATCGCATTATCTGTTCGACCTGGTAACAAATGAGCTATCTTAGCCTATCGGTTACCTAATTTGGCTTGAGCTCTGATAATAGTATTATCTTCTTCAGGAGTAAAGGGTTGATGCTCCACCTGAGGATTAAGCTGATTACACCAGCGGAACCTACATGATTTTCCAGATCGACCTGAAATCAATTGGCCAATAAGAGACCAGTTCTCTGCTCCATGTTCCTTAACTAGCATCTGCAATAGTTCATCCTCTTTAGGATTCCATCGACGCTTGATCATACTTGTTTTCTTCGATGTTTCCATTGTATAAAACCAATGAGATATTATAAATGGGAGAATAGGGTATTGCGTTTACTTGATAAAAACTTGTAGGGAGACAAGGATATATATAGTAGGGGTGGGATAGAAGGGATATGATTGTAGTAATATTGAAGTTTGACTAGTAGTTATTTTAGGAATACAAACATAATAACAGTCAAACTAACAATTTTAACTACAATTATAGTTTGACTGATAGTTGCTTTAGGGAAATTCTTTTTAAGTGTATTCACATCATACTAACAAATATAAAATATTTACTTTGATATGTATATTTATTTAATTACAATTGAACAACTATATTCTAAACTTAACATGAAATGTGATGTCACGACTCAACTTCCCGAGTCATGATGGCACCTACTATAACCCGCCTATAGGTAAGCCAACCCTTACCCAAAACCACAAGTAATGGTGTCAGGGTAGAACTAACTAGAAAATAACATTAACAATAACAAAAGATAGCAACAGAAGCAAAGCAAAACCTATATACAATAGAAACCCTCCAAGAACATGGATGTCCCGAGTATAAATTAATCTAATATGAATAAATATACGTCCCAAAAGTTGACAACAACAAGCCATCTAAAAGGCAAAAGACTAGCTAACATGAGTATAGAAGGAGACAGGCTGATCCAGGGCGCCAAGTACTCAGCCTCATCTCCAATATCCCCAAAATGCAAAAGATGGCACTAAAGATCACCATCGGTAGCTGGTACTAGGACATACATCATGAAAAACGCAGAGTATAGAATAAGTACCAACACAAAGGTACTCAGTAGGCATCATAGGCTGACTGAGCAGGAAAGGTAAGAATAATCTGAAAAGATAGAATCTAGAGGGACATATAAGTCAAAGCGGGTATAAAAAAGAAAGCACACGAGCATACCGAAAGTAAATCTAAGTAGACCTAAACTAAATTTAAGTTGACCCCAAAACCCAAGAAGGTACACTCATGCGCAAATTTAAGTAAAACTCGAACGGCCCCCATAAGCCTGAAAGGTACAAAAAATAATTAAGTCTACTAAGGAAAGAGTACCATGAGCCACTGATTAACGTCTCAAGGACACTTCATCCAATTCTAAGTGTCAACGATGGCTAGTCAGTATAATAACCCAACTAAATGAGTTGGGGTCGAATCCCACAGGGAGTGGTACGTGTTTAAGATTCAAAAGTAAAGTACGAATATATTCTAATCAGCCATAGGAATAGACATTTATGAGTAAAAACATAATTCAAATTAAGGGGTGACACGAATGTCAAGTAAAAGGGTTTTCGTTTTAACTATAAGCTACAACAACAACAAATAACACGAATTAACAAGTAATAAGACGGGTTCTTGGGATGTGACTGGATTATAGGCTAATATAGACAAATCGGTTATTCCAATTGTTAGTAAATAGTTGTATATCAGTGACTAAGCTAGACTTTAGTAGGGATGAACTTTCTCTCGAACAATTTACCTCGAATCAAGTTGGTTTCTCTTGAACACCAACAAGCAAGCAAATAAGAATAGCCTTCGCTTTAGTTCATTCACTCTCTCGAACTGAATGTATGGAAAAGAGTTTAGGATTCACTATCTCGAGCTCAACCCATGACAACCCAATACCACAGACCATCAATTCAGTAATCTTGGTTTTGAAACCGCTCTCTCGAGCAAGCCAAAAACGCCTAAGGTAGAATTGCATTTGCAACTACAACCCGTTAAATTAAACCACAATTACTGAATGAAATCACTTTTAAACGGCATTTAAACAAGAAATTACCAATACCCACAAGCTAAATCAACCCATATCACATAATCACACCCCAAGAAGTGGGGTTTTAGCTAGACATCATAAAAAGATAGAAATCGTTACAAAATTGTGTTTTCATCAACTAGGTAAGATTAATTTCCTCTTTACAAAGGTCCAAATTAAAGAATCTCAAAGACCCACTTCCAATTTCTCAAAATGGAAAACTTCAATTCTTCAAAGCTAAGGAAAAGTTGTCTCAAAAACTTATAGTTCAAACTCAAAAATTACTCTCTGTTCAGAATAAAATTTGATACTAAACATAATGTTTGAATATGTATTTATAGTCGCCAAAAATATGCTGCGAAGGACCATTCGGTGCAGTAAGTCGGGCTCGCCGATCAACTCGGTGATCCGCCCTTTATTGAAATTCATCGCCTTTCTGCTTTGGCCTTCAACATCCTCAAGTTCTGTAACTTTGGGCCATCCAACACTGCATCGCGGAACCATTCGGCGACACACCGACTGCTCATTTCTCTCGCCAAATTGATTTTCTCCTTCAGGGTTTGGCACACTGAAACTTTAGGTGAGATAGTGGCCATTCGGCAACTCGCCCAATGGACTCGGCGTTCACCAGGCCTTTTTTTCTTCGTTCTTTCAGCTGCTTTGTTCCTTTTTGCACAATAGTATCCATGCTTCGTTTTTCAATCCTATACCTGGAAATCAAGGATTTTACATCAGTTATTGGCACAAAACAAGCATTTGAGGACACAAAATCTATCCAAATAATGCCCTAAATGAGTCCAAATGGTGGACTCATCAACACCATAAACTTAAACTTTTGCTTGTCCTCAAGTAAAACTCAAGTTCAGCAGTTCAAAAAGGATGTCTCAAACAGTGCTACACAAGACTCAATCATAAATGCACACAAAAAGACTCAACTTACTCATGCAAGGATCAATTGTGCACTCAAAAAATCAAGTTGTGGCTCACCGTTATGAACGATTTTCAAGTTCATAATACTTGCTTCAAATGCAAGTTCAAGCTCAACAAAGGTACTCAAATGCCCTCACACAAAGGATGATTCCATATTCACACACAATGGTTCAACAGTTTATAGCTCTGCAATCACAATCAACACTCACACTCACAAAGATGAACACATGCATGACTCCACCCATAGGTTTGCCCTTATTTTCTAATCAACACTTATTCCAGCTCACTCAAGATCAAAAAGGTCTTTTCAAGGCTTGTAACGGGGCTGAGTGCAAAGGTGATGAGTCCACAAATTAGACTCATTTAGGGCTTTATTTTGATAAGAATAGTGTCCTCAAATGCTTATTTTGTCTAAATATCTGATGAAAATTCTTAAGTTTCAGGTATTTGAAGTTTTAGTGAAAGCATGCACACTTAGGCGCAAAAAGGAACAAGAAGGCTGAAAAGAATGAAGAAGCTGAAGCCCGAGGATGGCCAAGCACACTTGGCGATTTGCCGAAGGGATTTACTCCACCCTTTGTTCCAGTACGCGAAGCCCTAAAGGAGAAGGATCAAAAAGGCGATGAAAAGAGCAGTCGGCTCTTCACCGAATAGTTCCGTGAAGCAGTACTATACCGCCCAATGGTCCAGAATGTGAAAATGCTGAATGCAAGCACGAAATGGCGATGAGACAGACAAATGGTGAGTCGTCGAAGTCATTCGGCAATATCACCTAACTTCACCAAAAGATCCGCTAGTGCTATTTTCTGAAGTCTATAAATACTGAACTTGTTATTAATTTTAGAGAGTCGATCATTTATATTCTTTTCAGTGTAGAATAGTATGTTTTTAGATATTTTTCTCTCAAGTTTGAAGAGGGTTTTGTGGGAGACTTGAAGAGAGAAGGATTCCATATTTCCCAAGTTGGAAGTGGGTCTTCTCCATTCTTCTTCCTTTGCTTAAATCAAGGTTTAATTCTTTCTACCCATTTTATTTTAGTATCATTTTAGGTGTATTTTGTTATTTCTTG